GCAGGCTCTGATGGAAGCATCCCTGTTCTTGCCACCCAGGTCATTCCTGGAGAGGCTGATGGATCCCCTGGGCACACAGCTCTCAGGCCCCCCACCACCACCCCTTCCACACTCAGATGTAGACCCAGGGACCCACAGAGAAGCTGACGTGGCTCAGCACCATTGACACCTCAGCACTGGGCGACTGGAACCCACCAGAAGCTGCGATGAAACCTTCTGATACCTCCAGGGTGCTTCTCAGCCTGTGCTGCGGTGCACAAACTGCGCAAACACTGAAACTACTGGGGAGGAAGTCGTGCACCTCTTCCCGGTGCCCACGCAGGGCCCTCCTCCTGGCTGCTTTTCTGCACATCACCATTCCTTGCCTGAACCAGGGCTTCCTGCCAGAGGGCTTCCACAGGCCCCTTTGCCTTCCTTCAGGAAGGGGTCTGCTTCTCCCTGCTCCAAGCCATTTCTGAAGAAAGCACACCTTGTCTCCCATTCTCTGAGGCTTGCCAGGGGCCAGTTTGTGAATGGACAGTGGAGCGGATGGTCCATGTGCTGGTTCCCCCTGGAGCCTCTGACCTTGGTGCACTCCCTGCTCTTCCCACACAGCCTCCCAGGCACAGCCTAGTGACTCCTCTGGCTGGAGTCCGGAGCTCTTCCTGTGGCCCTGCTAGGCCCAGCCCTGGATCTCGCCTGACCTGAGACCCCAAGAGCAGGTGAAGGGGGCTGTGCAGGGAGGCCACAAAAGATGGGGTGATTCTCAGCGAACCCGCTGCCTGCTAATGCCCATCTTACTTGCTGCCCATCACTTCACAACATTTCTCCAGCACAAGACAGAGGTGAGAGGAGCCCATGGAGACCTAGAGAAAGTTGCACCCAGCCCTTCATCTGGCAGGCTGGACTGGATTGTCAGAGGGCTCTAAGACAATGCTGGGGCCCACATTGTAGGAGTCCCTTCCTGCAGGACTCCCATTGCCCCTCATGCTGCCTCTTGAGGAAGTCACCCTCACCCGGTCTGGTCCTCTGGGGTTGCCCCACACAGCCTCTCGAGCCACTCCCACTGGCCCCACTGCCAGGCCACAGTCCAGCCGCTCAGGCAGCCTGGTGCCTCCACCCTCTCACCTCTGGCTCCCAATGCACAACACAGCAGCCTGAAAGCCCACCTTGCTCCTGCCCCTCCCCAACCCCCGCTACCCTTACCTGGTATTCCAGACCTGCCGGGCACCCCCACCTGCACTCTGCCTCACGCTGGGCAGACAGATGACCAGCCAGCACCCTCAGATGAGGGTGGCATTGCCTGGTCCTGGAGAATGGGTCCTTCTCCCAAGCTGCTGGGGGCTACTGGGGGCTAAAGCAGGGCGGGGTGGCCTATTAAATCTACTCGGAGTCGTGAGTCCTTCCTGGGAGCAAGGAGCACCTGAGGTGAGGCATGCCCACTGTGGGGTCCCCAGCGTGGTGGGGGGTCAGACCCCACTGGGGTCAAGTTCGAGAGGATCCAGGTCTGATACATATCTGATGTTGAACCTCTCATATATATATATATATATATATATATATATATATATATATATAAAATTTATATATATTTTCATTTCAGTTATTGTACTTTTTAGCTCTAGAATTTCTGTGGCTCCTTTTTAAAATTCTCTTTACTGACATTCTCATTTTGTTCACACATTGTTTTCCTGACTTTCTTTACCTCTTGAACATATTTAAAACAGGTGGTTTTAGGGTCTTTGTCTGGGAAGTACCATGTCTGGGCTGCCTCAGGCAGTTTCTGTCAAATTTCTCTTTTAAATGAACCACACTTTCCAGTTTCCTTGTATGATTTGTGATTTTTCATGGTGGAAACTGGATATTTGAATATTCCAGAATTCAAGAATCGCCCCCCTCCCTGGGGTCTGCTATTCTTCATCGTTGAGGCCTCGCTGTGCCCAGCCAGTGTTTCTGAGAGACTTCCTCAGTGCCAGGACTTCAGAGCACAAACACCACCACCTGTCCCAGTCTTTATGGACTGACCCTGTGCTGAGGCACTTTTAAACACTTAACCAGACCACTTATGGTTCTGCCTCAGCCTACAGATCAGCCATGGCGAATGTTCAGAGACTTCTCAGGTCCTTTCTGAGCATATTTTGTGTCCTGGACATGTATGTGGCTTTCTAAATTGCCCGGCATTCAGATGCTTCTGAAAGCCCTGGTATCCTAAAGAAACCCTTTCCCTGGCTTTCCTCCGTCTCTAAGCAGTCTGTGGAATGCTCAGGTGCTTGCACATCTTAAAGACTTCCTCACGTGTTTTCAAGCAGTGGCTGCTGCTTTTCCACCCCAAGGTCCGGGACAGGCAAACCAAAGATGAGCACCTTGTGTTGGTGGTTGAGGATGACCCCAGACAGGGTAGGGCAGGCAAATGCACCCCGTGAGCAAGGCCTGCTCTGTTCCTCTGGAACTAGGAACCCGGGTGCCACAAGGGTGTTGCGGCTGCCGCCACTCCTAGAAACAGGTGGGACAAGGGCGAGCAAACATGCCACAGCTTTCTGTTTCTAAGTTTCTTTTTTCTTAATGCAGCAATCACTTGGATGGTGTAAACCTTTTCTTTTCCAGAGTTCTGATGAGGTTGGTTTTGATAGTTTCTGGCTCTTTTTTCAATGTTTCTTTGGAGGTATCCACTCCACCATTTTAGTGACATTATTTTTTAAAACTGTAACTGATTATGTGTAGAACTTCCTTAGCTTAAAAAAAAGGTTACTTCCCTACTGTGGTTTAGACTTGCATTTCTAAAATGGCCTAAGTGGCTAAAAAAGTTAACTCTGGTATCTCAAAAATAATCGTTTTAGTCAAGTAAATTTGGAAAAAGCATCTGAAAGGCTCTGCAAAGTTGTAAAGAAACCTGCTTTATGTTTATTTTGACCAAACATTTCCCAAGTTTATTTCACTTACAAGCCTTTCTTATCGGTAATACATGTTAGCATTTGAAGAGCATCAGTCACAGAATAGGACAAGAAAAATGGTCCCAGTTCTTCAAAGCTTTGAAAGCTTTGATTTTTTTACAGTTGTTCCCATAGCTACAGTCATGGGGCTGGGAGTCAGGGAGAGGTGAAGGGGTGGGCATGACTAGTACTAATTGAGAACAAATGAGTCATAACCTCCTCTCCCTAGGAGTTCTGAGACACACCTTGAAGGGGGCCTAAGAACTTGTGAGCTGTGAGCGCTCAGGAAGGCGTCTCTGACAGATAACACGGGAGAGGGGGAGGGACAGGGGAAGTGAGGTTACCATCTACCCAGAGTGAAGTGCTGTGTGATTACCATAAGCGAGGCCGTGATTTTAAAAAGTAAGCTGTATTTAAAAACAAAACAAATGAGTTGGTGATGTGGAATGCTATTCTCAGTACCCTTGAAACTGATTTATTTTGAGGGCACCAAACAGTTACAGTGGGAAGAGTGGAAGCTGGTACCACTGGTGCTGGCCCTACGTTGAAGGAAGTTCTATTGCAGTAGTTTATACTGTAATTCCCTTTCCCAGACCGTGGTCCCTTTCAGGGCCGGAGAGTGTCTGACCCACCTTTGTTTCTAGTCATGTCCTTTAGAGAACTGAGGGGAAATGGAATATTCACATGATAAGGAGCCAACAATGTTCTTTCCTCTGCCTCCAAGCAGGAATGGAGACTCCAGAACCTCCTTAAACAATTAAACCACGTCCTACATTTAGATCATTTCACTTGAATGGCTGGAACGGCTGCTGTCATTATTTGTTCTGACTCTCCATCTATCCACCTGGAAAAACTCTGATTATCCACATCAGAACAAAAACGCCCAGGGATTAGTAGCATCCTTTAATTCCAATATCATGCAGTGAATACACTAGCCAGATAAATGCAATCATAAAACCATACCCTGTCAACATGTCAGTTTTTCTCAACTTCATTTATAGATTTAATGAAATCCCAATCAAAATCCCAGCAAGTCAATTTGTGGATATTGACAAAGCAATTCTAGTATTTATATGCAGAGAAAAAAAATACAGAACAGCTGACACAATATGGAAGGAGAAAAATGAAGCTGGAGGACGGACTCTATCTGACTTCAACACTTACTATAGAGGTACATTAGTCAACAGTGTGGAAGACGACAGTGTGGTATTGGCAAAAGTACAGGAAAACACAGCGATGAAACGACACCAAGGGCCCTGAAATAGGCCTGATGAATACCGTAATCTGATCTCTGACATAGGAGCAAGGATAATAAAGTGCAACACAGATGGTATTTTCAACAGATGGTGCTGAAACAACTGGGCATCCATGTGCAAAAATAAAAATCTAGACAAAGACCTTAAATGATTCACAACAATTAAATCAAAATGGATCACAGACCTAAATGTATAAAACACTATAAAACTCCTAGAACGTAACATAGGAGAAAATCTAGGTGACCTTGGGTGTGGCAACGACTTTTGAGATTCAATACCAAGAACACAATCATGGAAGAAATAACTGGTAGGCTAGACTTCATTAAAATTAAAAACTTCTGTTATATGAAAAAGTGAAGAGAAAGAGAAGACAGCCACAGACTGGGAGAAAATATTGGGAAAAGACACATCTGATAAAGAACTATTATTCCAAATACACAAAGAACTCTGAAAATTCAATAATAAGGAAACAAAAAAACCAATTAAAAATGGGCAAAGAACCTAAACAGACACCTCTCCAAAGAAGATTTACAGATGACAAAAAAGCACCTGAAAAGATGTTCAACATCATGCCATTAGGAAACTACAAGCTGAAACAATGAGATGCCATCACACGCCTGTCTGAATGGTCTAAGTCCAGAGCTCCGCCGCCAGCGCTGCTGCAGACGCGGAGCAGCGGCGCACTCACACAGTGCTGGCGCAGATGCAAACTGGCACAGCCACTCTGGAGCACAGTTTGGCAGTTTCTTACAAAGCTAAACATACCCTTACCGTACGATCCAGCAGCTGTGCTCTTTGGGATTTAAATGAGTTGAAACACGTCCACACAAAAACGTGCACACGAATGTTTACAGCTTTATTCATAATTGCCAAAACTTGGAAGCAACCAAGATGTCCTTCAACAGCTGAGTGGATAGTGTGGTACGTACAAATGCTGGAATATTATTCGGCAATAAAGAGAAATGAGCTACTAAGCTATTAAAAAGCATAAAGAAAACTTACATGCATATTAGTAACTGAAAGAAGCCAATCTGAAAGGCTACACGCTGCATGATTTCAGGAACGAACATATTTCCGTGGTGTGGGAGGGGTGGCAGTACGCTACACGTGGGAAAACCTTGCACGTGTTGGGACAGGCAGTACTTGGGAATTCTATATTTTCCAGTCAATTGTGCTATGAACTTAAAACTGCTCCAAAACATGTTTACTGAAAAAACAAAGTGTATCCTGAAGATAAAATCAGGAGTAATAAGGTCATACCTGGATTCATGATCTCCAATTTGCATGATGAGACTAGAAGGGCCTCACTGCAGCAACACCGGAGACACCAGGATCTCCGCACAATCTGCACCAGGCAGCCTGTGAGTAAGTGGCTGGGTTTTTTCTGCCTGATTTACTACACATAGGACTTGGACCAGAGGTTTCTGGGTCGAATCCCAGCAGTACAAGGTGAGCTGTTTTCCTTTTTGGTTAGGACTGAATGAGATCACATATGTCAAAGAGTTTTATAAACTGTCAAACACAACTATAAATTGCTACTGCTGAATTACTTACAAATGTAATTTAGGAATATTTCAGATGTGTGCGAGTTGTTTATAATGCATGACCACATCACGCCTCTCACTGGTCAGCTCCTGGCTTTGATAAAGCACTTATGGGCAGGCCCATATCCCATGCGTCCACAACAACCAGCCCAAAGCAGGGCCAGGCAGTCAGAGAACGTGTCCTCATCTCATAGTTGTCTGTTATGGGTGCAACCTGCAATGGGAAGGGAGGGAAGAAAAGTCCCTTGACTCCCACCCCACACACACCTCTCAGGACATAATACATCCGTCCAAACAGGACACAGAGTCAAAATCCCCAATCATCTTTTTGGTTAAAAGATGTCAAAAAGCACAAAATGGCTCCCATACATTGTGGGAAGGCTGGGGAGAAGCACCCACAGAGGAAAAGCCCCTTCTTCTGAGCTTCCAAGTTTCATGCATCTCTTTCCAAGGCCACATATGAAATAATTTGGAATAGCAAACAGCTTGAAAGTTCATTGCATATGACAATCTAAAATAAGACCAAGTGTTAAAGCAGAAATTTATTAAAATCCATTTATATAGTGTTTTACAGACCAAAAAATGTACAGAGTCTTTGACATTCAGGCAATGAACTCCATTCTCAGAAGTGTTTTGTGAGAAGATCAAATTCTTTTGCCTTCCTTCCAAAACAGATACTTCTGTTTATACTCCTGAAAATGATGTGTTTATTACACCACCTCTCAAGAACAATCCCCAAAACCTCTGCAGAGTGAAGAAAACCTTCTTTAGAATGCAAAGCCTCATCACAGAGGTGTAGTGCAAGAGATACATAAATGGCTGCTGTTTCAGAGGAGTGTGCGCACACCTGGCGGACAGGCATGAGAAGAGCTTGAGGGCCCAGCTGGGTGGCCCCTAGCTGCGGAGCGTGGCCAGCCGGGACTGCATGGCCTCCAGGGCCTCCTCCTCCTCTTCCTCTTCCTCATCTGAGGCGGCCATTGCTCCTACAACTTCAGGCTCTGGAAGGGCATCAGTCACTTTACTAGGTGCTTTGCCCAAGGCCCCTGAAAACAAACACAGTGAACAGATTAACAAAATATTGGTTGTGTTAATCCATCATCTTCCCTGCCTTTCACACCTGGATCAGTCTGTCAGAGAAGGGGCAATGAAACAAGCTGGTGCGGTGAGGTTTTGCTCACTGTGACAAAGGCGCAACACCACCTTGTAATGATAACAAAGTCGTAATAACTGTAAAGAGATTCTGATTTTAGAATTTTGGTTCTGAAGCTCTTGATCTACATTCCTAAACAATATTGAATACTAAATTTTCAAGATTCATGAAGATTTCAAATCTAACTAAATTGTTTCTAAATCTTCATAAAATGTTTTTCTGGAGTATGGCATAACTAGTCTTCCCCACCCCCCAAAATTAAAACACATAAACAAACAAAAATTAAACCTCACCAATTATATTTTTTAATAAACACAAAACCCAGAAAATCCAGAAGTAAAAATAAAGATTTAAAACTTGACATTTGAGACAGAAGAGGAGATACATGCTGTCCTACCCCTCCTCCCACGATCAAAACTGCAAAGGAATACGGCACAGCCACCACTGGGAAGCACCTGAAGATGGGCTGAACAGAATTCCCGTCACTGGGGATACAAAGGAAGCAGGAGGGGTGGAGATGTGAAATGGGCAGATCTCTCAACCACAGTGTGGCAATATCCCAGCTGCAGAGGTGCCTCCTGAGGAGCAAGGAGTCTTAGCCCCAAACCTGGCTTTTCAGCCTGGGGCTCCAGTGCTGGGAAGAGAGGTCCCCATAATATCTGGCTGTGAAAATCAGCAGGATTGCTTCTGAGAAAGACAAAGGGCTGGTAGAGGCTTAGGTGCTGATTGTAAAGGGCCCACACACAGACTCACTCATTCACAAACTCACTTGTTCTATGGTCTAGCACAGGGGCAGTAGCTTGAAAAGCATCAAGGACACACTAGGAGGAACTAAATTGACTAACTTTAGGGTGAGGGGCTGCCAGGGCAGGGGAGGTGGCAACTTTTTCCATGGGACAAAAGTGCTAAAAGGTATCAAATCTGCACTCTCCTTTAAATTGGCTAACACCATTCGCCTTGCCTTAGTGATTCTGAAACCCTGCCCACCCCCGTAAAGTCTCTTGTCTGGACTGAGCCTCCTCCAGCAGCTTTTCTACATAAGAAACCTGTCTCAGCTCAAGCTACAGACTTTCCCACAAATCTGCACACCTCACATGAGCAGTGGGTGCCCTAGACTTGCACTGCAGGCTTTCTCAAAGGTCCACAAATCCCACACACATGATAGGTAGCTGGCTTCAGTGTGCACTGTAGTTCCAACCAAGACCAGCACAAATGGTGACTAGTCTCAGTATATCTTGTAACTCCCATCAGGTGGCCCCAAGCCTGATATAAGTGGCAGCCTGCCTGAGCTCACATTGTGCTGTGCAGCAAAGGGTCACAAGTGGCAGCCTGCCATGCTTTGCAGTGTAGCCTCTTCCAAATACCTTCAAGCCCAGCACAAGCAACGAGATGCAGATCACTCTGTAGCTCCTACCAAGTGGTCCTAAGCCCAGCATAAGTGGTGGCTGACCTCAGCCTGCACCAGGGTCCCTAATGTTGGCCTGTACCAGAGCCACTGCCAAGAGGCTCCAGGCCCAACAAATCAGAGCAGACCTACCAACCAGTTCTACAGCCAGCACACCACAAGGTTGGACTTGGCTGGTAGCAAGTGATACCAGTTCTGTGGGATCAGCCCTTATAAACCCTTGCCCACTATACTGGTGACCAGCACTCAGCCAGTCAGCCTGAGGTTCAACCCAAAGCATGGTCTTGCTAACAGTATTTGGGGCCTAACTACAACAGCAGGGCACATATAACCCACAGAGGGGACACCTCTGGAGCACCTGGCTCAGATGACCAAGAAGACTGTGCCCCTGACCCCCAGAGAACACCTTCTATATAACCTCACTCCATCAAGACTGGGAGATGTAGCAGATCTACAAAATACATAGAAACGAACACAAGAAGTCAACCAAAATGAGGAACCACAACATGTATTCCCAAAGGAAAGACCAGGACAAAACTCCTGAAAAAGAACTAAAAGAAATGGAGACAAGCAATCTATAACATACCGAGTACAAAACACTGGTTTTAAAAATGCTCAATGAGGACTTTCAGTCAAGATGGAGGCATACATAGACATGCTTTGCCTCCTTGCACAACCACAGAGACAATTACAACTAGATCTCAAAACAAGTAACATCAGAACTGTCACAAAGTCGACCTGTATGGAAGTCTGACCACCAAGGATTTAAAGAAGCCACATTCATGCAGGAGGGTAGGAGGGGCAGAGGTGCACAGTCGGTGGAGTGTGGAGATGCAGTGTGGCACAGAGAGGTGGCAGTGGAGGCAGAGGAACAGACGATCCCTCATTCATGTGTGGTGGATAAAAATCGGGAGGCATACCTTGGGAGTAAGTAATCAAAGCCCCAGGCCAGACCGCAAAGCCTAGGGTTCCAGGGATGGGAAGATAAATCCACATAACTTATGGGTGAAAAAAACAGTGGGGGTTGGGGTGGAAGAAGGAATTGCTGGATTTTCAGGAGACTCAGGTTAAAGGGCTGGCATGGTCTTAGAACATATGCAAACATGTCCTCACTCTGGGATTCACCACCAGGGCAGCAGATGGAAGGGCGCCAGTCACATATGAGAAGTGGGCGAAGAGACTGGAAATGGGGTGAGTGCTGGGCAAACCTCCAGGACCCAGGCAACAGCGCTGTCCCCTCTCTGAACTCTCCCCCTACACAGCCACAATACAGAAGCGGGTTGCTCTGCCCTGGTGATTACCTAAGGCTCCACCCCTCACAATTTGCAGATGCCTTTTCTACAATAGGCCATGCTACTAAGACAGGGAGTCAAAGTAGCTCTACCTAATACACAGAAACAAACACAGGGAGGCTGCCAAAGTGAGGAGACAAAGAAATGTGGCCCAAATGAAAGAACAGAACAAAACCTTAGAAAAAGAACTAAATGAAACAGAGATAACCAACTTATCACATACAGTGTTCAAAACACTGGTAATCAGGATGCTTAAAGAACTCACTGAGCACAGCGACAACATAAAGGAAGAAATGAAGGTTACACTAAATGAAATAAAGAAAAATCTACAGGAAATCATGAGTGGAAGGGAGGAAGCTGGGATTCAAATCAACCATTTAGAACATAATGAAGAATAAGTACTCAACCAGAACAGTGAAAAGAAAAAAGAATTAAAAAAAATGAGGATAGTATAAGGACCCTCTGGGACATCTCCAAATATACCAACATCAAATCATAGGGGTGCTAGAAGAAGAGGAAGAGCAAGAAATCGAAAACTTATTTGAAAAAATAAGGAAAGAAAACCTCCCTAATTTGGCAAAGGAAACAGACATATAAGTCCAGGAAGCAGAGAGTCCCAAACAAGGTGGACCCAAAGAGGACCACACCAAGACATATCACAATTAAAATGGTAAGAGTTAAAGATAAAGAGAGAATCTTAAAAGCAGAAAGAAAAAGGCAGAGAGTTACCTACAAAGGAGTTTTCCTAAGACTGTCAGCTGATTTCTCAAAAGAAACTGTGCAGGCAAGAAGGGACTGACCAGAAGTATTCAGAGTAATGAAAAGCAAGGACTTACAACCAAGATTACTCTGTCCAGCAAAGCTATAATTTAGAATGGAAGGGCAGATAAAGTGCTTCCCAGACAAGGTAAAGCTAAAGGAGTTCATCATCACCAAGCCATTATTACATGAAATGTTAAAGGGACTTATTTAAGAAAAAGAAGATCAATACTATGAACATTCAAATGTCAACAAATTTACAACTATCAACAACTGAATCTAGAGAAACAAAGTAAACAAACAACTGGAACAGGAACAGAATCATAGATACGGGATCATTTGGAGGGTTATCTGTGGGGTGGGGGAAGGAGAAGAATTGAGGAAAAGTTGTAAGGATTAAGAAGCATAATTGGTAGGTACAAAATAGAGAGGGGGATGTGAAGAATAGTATAGGAAATGGAGAAGCCAAAGAACTTATATGCATGACCTATGGACATGAACTAAGGGGAGGGGATTGCTGGAGGGGGGGGTATCAGGTAGAGGGGGGCAAAGGGTGAAAAACTGGGACAAGTGTAATAGCAAAATCAATAAAATATATTTAAAAAATGCTCAATGAACTTGGGAGAAAAATAGATGAACTTATTAAGAACTTCAACAAAGAGCTAGAAGACATAATAAAGGATATTAATAAAAAACATAAAAAAGAACAAATCAGAACTGAAAAATATAGTAACTGAAATGAAAACTATACTAATGGGAATCTATAGCAGATTAGATGAAGCAGAGGATCAAATCAGCAATCTGAAAGACAAGGCAGTGGAAATCACCCAATTAGCAAAAGCAAAAAAAAAAAGGAATTTAAAAAATGAGGGTAGTTTAAGGGATTTCTAACACAACATCCTACACACCAACATTCACATTATAGGGATACCAAACGGAAAAGAGAAGAGAAAGAAAGAAATTGAAAACCTATTTGGACAATTAATTATGGAAAACTTCCCTAACCTGGTAAAGGAAATAGACATATAAGCCCAGAAAGTACGGAGTCCCAAATGAGATGAACACAAAGAGTCCACATCAAGACGTATCATGATCAACATGCAAAAAGTTAAAGATGGATAATCTAAAAGTAGCAAGAGAAAAGCAGTTAGTTATGTACAAAGGAGCTCCTATAAGACTATCAGCTAATTTTTCAACAGAAACATTCCAGTCCAGAAGATAGTGGCACGAAATATTCAAGGTGATGAAAGGCACAAACCTACAAATATGATCACTCCACCCAGCAAGGCTATCATTTAGAATTAAAGGATGACAGTTTCACAGACAAGAAAATGGTAAAGGAGTTAAAAACATCACTAAGCCAATATTAAAAGAATTGTTAAAGAGACTTCTTTAAGTAGAAAAGATAAAACATATGAATAAGAAAACACATGAAAGAAAAAAATCTCATTGACAAAGGTGATCATTAAAGAAACCAATTATAAAACTAGTACAGAGATTAGACAAAAGTAGGACTATCATGTGTAATTACAAATATAAACTAAGGGTTACACATACACATGAGAAGTAAAAAATAATGACAAAAACTTAAGCGTGAAGGGGGTGAGTAAAACAAAAGTTATTTTAGAATGTGTTCAAACTTATGTGACCATCAACTTAAAATAGACAACTATATTGACAGCTTGGTGTTTATGAAGTGCATGATAACCATAAACCAAAGATCTGTGAGAGATATACAAGAAATAAAGAGAGAGGAATCCAAATATAACCCTTCAGAAAGTCATCAAAACATAAGAGAAGAGAGCAAGGGAATAAGAAAGGAAAGAGGAGACCTACACAACAATAAGAAAACAGTAAAATGGCAATACCTACATACTATGAATAATTACTTAAATGTAAATAAACAAAATATTTCAGTTAAAAGACACAACACAGCAGAATGGATAAAAAAAACAAGACCCAGATTTCCAGCCAAGATGAAGGTGTAGGTAGACACACTGTGCCTCCTCACACAACCAAAATAAGGACAACAATTTAGGAACAAAATAACAACCAGAACTGACAGCAGATTGAACTGTATGGAAATCAGACAATCAAGGAGTTAAAATAGACACATTCATCCAGACCGGTAGGTGGGGCGGAGTTGGGCGACCAGGTGAAAAGGGGTTGCTGCACAAAAAGCAGTGGTACCAGGTGCGCAAGATGAAGCGGGTGGACCCTGGGTGCGCAGGCAGAGGCTGGCAGACCCCAGGCATGGGGTGGCAATGGACAGACCCAGCAAGGCAGTGATTATGAAGTGAGTCACCAGCGGTCCCACATTTGAGTGTAGATAAACCTGGCAAGGCTGGGGAGCAAGACAGATGGCAAAACCCAGGGTCCCAGCACTGGAAAATAAAGCCTCAAGGCACTGACTGGGGACACCTGTGGGGGTTGAGGTGCCGGAAGAGACTCCCAGCCTCACAGGAGAGTTTGTTGGAGAGAACCATGGGGTCCTAGAATGTACACAAGCCCACCCACACAGGACTCAGCACCAGAAAGGCCCAGTTGCTTGGGGCAAGTGGCGCAAGGGAATGAAAGCCGACACAGAGCGAAGCAAGTGCCATTGTTCCCTCTTGGACCCTGCCCCCACATACTGTGTCACAACCCAGCAACTGGGTTGCCCTGCCCTGGTGAACACCTAAGGCTCTGTCCCTCATATGTAACAGGCGCGACAAGACAACAACAAAAAAATGGCCCAAACGAAGAACAGATCAAAGCTCCAGAGCAAATACAACTGAGCAATGAAGAGATAGCCCACCTATCAGATGCACAGTTCAAAGCACTGGTGATCAGGATGCTCACAGAATTGGTTGAATCTGGTCACAAATTAGATGAAAAAATGAAGGCTATGCTAAGTGAAATGAAGGAAAATGCACAGGGAACCAATAGTGATGGGAAGAAAACTGGGACTCACATCAATGCAGTGGACCAGAAGGAAGAAAGAAACAACCAAACAGAAAAGAATGAAGAAACAAGAATTCAAAAAAATGAGGAGAGGCTTTGGAACCTCCAGGACATCTTTAAACATTCCAACATCCAAACAACCAAAAAGAAAACAGAAACAACCCCATTATAGGGGTAATGGAAGAGGAAGAGCAACAAGTGGGAAAGTTATTTGAACAAATAATAAAGGAGAACTTCCTCAAGGAAATAGACTTCCAGGAAGTCCAGGAAGCCTAGAGAGTCCCAAAGAAGGTAGACCCAAGGAGGAACACACCAAGGCACATCATAGTTACATCACCCAAGATTAAAATGAAGCAGAGAATCCTAGAAGCAGCAAGAGATAAGGAGACAGTAACCTACAAAGGAGTTCCCATCAGACTGTGAGTTGATTTCTCAAAAGAGACCTTGCAGGCAAGAAGGGGCTGCAAAGAAGTATTCCAAGTCATGAAAGAGTTGATTTCTCAAAAGAGACCTTGCAGGCAAGAAGGGGCTGCAAAGAAGTATTCCAAGTCATGAAAGGCAAGAACCTATATACAAGAATACTCCATCCAGGAAAGCTTTCATTTAGAATGGAAGGGCAGATAAAGTGCTTCTCAGATAAGGTCAAGTTAAAGGAGTTCATCATCACCAGGCCCTTATTATATGAAATGTTAAAGGGATTTATCTAAGAAAAAGAAGATAAAAAACATGTATAGTAGAAGGACGGCAAACTCATAATTATGAACAACCACACCTAAAAAAAATAAACTAAGGAAATAACTAGAACAGGAACAGAACCACAGAAATGGAGATCACATGGAGGGTTAGCAACAGGGGAGTGGGAAGAGGAGAGAGGGGGAAAGGTATAGAGAATAAGTAGCATATATGGTAGGTAGAAAATAAACAGGGGGAGGGCAAGAATAGTATGGGAAATGTAGAAACTAAAGAACTTATGACACATGGACATGACTAAAGGGGGAATGTGGGTGGGAGAGGGTATGCAGGGTAGAGGGGAGTGAAGGGGGGAAATGAGACAACTGTAATAGCATAATCAATAAAACATATTAAAAAAACAAGACCCATGCATATGCTGCATACAAGAGACCCACTTTAGATGGAAAGACACACACAGACTGACAATAAAGGGATGGAAAAGGATATTTCATGAAAATTGAAATAAAAAAAAGCTCGGGTAGGAATACTTTTATCAGACAAAGTAAGACTTTAAAACACAGGCTATAACAAAAGACAAAGAAGGACATTTTACATACAATAGCTAAGACATGGAAGGAACCTAAGTGTCCAGCAGTAGATGACTGGATATAGATGTGGTACATATGTACAACAGAATATTACACAATCACAAAAAAGAATGAACTCTTGCCATTCGTAACAACATGGATGGACCTGGAGGGTATTATGCTAAGTGAAATAAGTCAGACAAAGACAAATACCACATGGTTTCACTTACATATGGAATAAAAAAAAAGTACATGAACGAACAAAACAGAAAAAACCTCATAGATACAGATGAGAGGGTTGGGCTGATGGGTGAAAAAAGAAAAAGTACAAATTACCAGTTACAAAAACAGTCACAAGGATGTAAAGTATAGCACTTATAATATATATGTACGGTGGCAGATGGATACTAGACTTATCTGGGTAATCACTTCATAAGGCATGTAACTGTCTTAAGCACTACATTGTACATTTAAAACTAATATGATATTGTATGTCAACTGTAATTGAAAAATAAATTAAAGAAAAGAAATAGGAAAAGAAACCAAATAAATCTCATTAACCATCACTCAGAGATAACTACTATTTTTCCGTAGGTGTAGTTTTTACATAAAAGTATGTATTTTCATAACAAGCCTTTTTTCCCTCATAATATATTGTGAACACGTTTCCATGTCAGTAAATATATTCCTATATTATCTATCACAACTATAATACGACATAGTATTCCATTAAACATATATAACATAATTGACTCAACAAATATTCTATTAGGCATTTAGCTTGTTTTGAGCTTTTCAATATTATAAGTAAGGCTACGACAGACATCCTTGAGTTAAATCATTTAGCTCTCCTTACACGCTAAACTCCCAGAAGTCAATCAATCTTCAGGTCAAGGGTTTTTGAGAGCTACTACCAAATTACTTTTCAGAAATTCTATACCAATTTAGCTTCTCAATGCAGTCTGTGACAGCAATGTTTCACCTTTCCACTTTGGAAACTATAGGAATTAAAAAAAATTCTTTATCTGTTTTTAAAAACAGATGGTTATAGATACTGTGCTTATTTTTCAAGAAATAACTGGCATAATCTAAAATTTAAAATGTAGAAGGGAGTTATAGCCTGAAGAAAAAGCTACTAGCTAACTCAGAGAATGCAGGAAGAATGGCCACATAAGGAGACAAGAAAGAGGATGAAAGTCAGGGTCATACCTGCTGTAATTTCAAACAGAATTTTGTCGATTTCCATTTCTGCTGCTTCTTCCATTTCTTCCTGATCATCCATACTTTCAAAAGTGTCCTCTAACATCTCTTCTATGATCCCAGCCTAAACAGAATAAACCATGTTACTTCCAGCTGTTAAACCTGTCCCCAAAAGATACACTTTAAGGCCAGCACCAAGTGAGCTCTAGTGTCTCCAAGTCCAGTCCACCCTTTGAAGGCTAACACACAAGAATGTTGGCCCAGGAAATACTGGATGCTGCCTTCTCTGCAGAAAGGCCAAAGGCCAATGGAAAATGCTCTCTAAATTTAGCACCAAGCTTGGAGGTAGGCTGCTAATGGCTATCAGCAGAGCTTCACAAAGTATAATGGCAGTGTATGGGGAACAGCTTGTTGACAGGTGAGTGTATGCCCCGATCCGTCTTGGCATTTGCCCTAACACTGTAAATATAATCTGTAAATACAGGACGGTAAATATCAAGAGCAGGGTGGGGGCTTCATGGGACCCCAAAAAGGCCTGAAGAGTACTACAGCATGTCCAGGTTATAGCTAAGTAGCACAGGGTTAATCTGGCAGGTCTGGCAAGGATCAGTCAGTTCACCAAAGCCTGACCATCCTCTCCTCAGAGAACTGATAAGGCAGCATTTCTGAACCCAACAAGGTAATGCCTGGACTCTCTACTGGAAGCCCCGTGTCTAGCAGTCTTTGTGCGGGTAGTGTGGCACCACTACACTAGTAGGAAACATAAGAAAGCTGCTCCTTCACACTGGCCAACACAAGCATCCCCTGCAATCTTCCTTGCTTAGCACTGTCCTCCGCTCCCAGATAACTGTATTTGTTTTTAAAGCAAAAGGTTGAAAGAACACCCTACAATGTCAAAAAGGGGGGTGAATGAGTAGGGGGGCAGAAAAAGTAGGAAGGGGCTGAGCAGCTGTGGTGTAGGGCAGAAGGAAAGCACAAGTTCAGGCTTCTTAGAAACTGCTAGAAGAGAAAAATCCTGACTGTTTTGCAACCTACAAGAACTGAGCCGCTTGCTTTGTACCTTGACGTTCCAATGTTTCAACAAGCAGCAGGTCACGTGTGGCAGCTCCAGCTCTGGCTCCCCTGCACTCAGACAGGGCACAGCTCTCACCGAGCATGTGATGGGATCAAATTTAAAACAAGCTTTCTCCTGCCCTGCCGTTCCATTCCCAGAACATTCAAGTGACTTCATGACATGAATCTAGCTAGTACCACATTCTGCCGATTCTCAGACCCATTGCTCCCGACAAAAAGGAACAAACTAATTCACATTCAAGGTCACACAAGTGGAGCCCTCTGGAAGTCATCTTAGTGCTGGAGGCTATGTAAAAGAGGTTATACACTGTCTAAAAGAGCCTACTGGAAACCTGACTGTAATAGCTGTCCACACTATGGAGGAGAAGCTGTCGTTCATTAACTGAATCAGCAACCATTCATCAAATGCCTGCACTGTGCCATCCAACGAAATGATTTTCATGTCCCTGCCCTTGAGAAGCTGGACCTGCATTGGAGGCTTCAGTTTGCACCTGGGGATGCAGCACTGGATGAATTCCATAAATATTTATTACTTACAACACAAAAGCCTTCCTTCAAGTCTGTATTACTTTCAGTATTCAGAAATCATTGGGAAAAATTCCCAGATTCTAAACAAGGTGTTCCCCTCAGATCCTGATGGCTACCTGAGCTAGAATGAGCAGGCATGAATTCATTGCAACTTGGGGGTCGAGACACATCCACAAAACCCTTTTAAAGGACATACCCTCCTGCCTGGTTCCCTCCTACTGCTACTACCCAAGGAGTTCTCATTCCAAAGAGCTGGGTTTTTTATGTTTCTTTTTTTTTCCATCAATTTTCTTCTCCAGTTCTTCTCTCCTATGCCCTAGAGATCCATATATAATTTAAATTCATGAATGAAATTCCCTAGGAAGAAGGAAAACAATTTCTCTCTTTATAAATAACATATAAGAATTTGAGGTATACAATCTTGACTCACAGGACACATGTCTGAAGTATGAATTAGCAGCTGCACAAGGCACCTTCTATTACCATTTACTCTGAGGCAGCTCAGCAATAAGGTCAGACATCTGTGCTCCACCCCCAATCTCTTACCACCAACAGTACTTGTAAGTTACCTGGCAACTTCAGGACTCGATTTCCTACTATGTAAAATGGGGATAAAAATACCTACCTCACAGGGTTGCTGGATGGACTTGATAGGACAAAACGTGTGATGCACCACTGTCTGGCAGTAGGCTCGGCAACACCACCATCTTGAGCCCTGTCCATCAGTATGGTCCTTGCCAGGCCCCAATCCTGGGGATGGCGGGTTATTTATTGCTTTCTATTTGGTTCTCAGTCTCTCCTTTTCTAGTCTAAAACAGGCAGAGGCAAACTACAGCCCACAGGATCAAATTGGTCCACTCGCCGCTTTTGCAAATAAAGGTTTATTGGAACACAGTCACTCTTATTTGTTTACATATTATCTATGGCTTTTACACTACAAAGCAGTGTTGAGTAGTTATACAAAGACATATGGCCCACAAAGTAGAAATTACATTTAACATCTAGCCCCTTACAGAAAAAATTTGCCAAAAGTTTGCTGGCAATGGAGGTAGAAGGACCTCCCATGCCAGCTTCATTAACATTCCCCTGGAGCAGACGGAGAAATGGGCTTTTTTTCTCTCTCCTTACTCACGTCAGGGCTTGTAAACCCCAGCTCCCTGAATCTTAAACCCTTGCTCCCTAGATTCCTCAACCTCCTCCAAAGTTCTGGGTATTTTTACTTCTTCTAAGCACTCTGGCAATCTGACCCAGCCTTAGCCATGCTCAGCTCTGACGGTTTCAACCACTGTTGACAGCTGCTCCTCTGTCCTCAGTGTCTGGCAACAGTAGTCTGTCCATGCCTGCCTAACCCAGTCTTAGACCCTGCCACTTGCTGAAAGTGATGCTTAGTGGTTCAGAATGGGATTCAGGGCTAGTCCCAAGTCACCTTCATCATCTCTTTGGACAGCTCCCGCATGGTGGCCTGGATTTCTGGGATCTTCACTAGACTCTGCATGGCCTTCATCACTTCTGTGCTCTTCTGCAGGGAACCGGCCACACGCAAAACCGCTGAAAGAAAGAGGTAACAGTCAGGACTACCTAACCGAAGGTGATGCAGGATGGAAAGGAGTCAAATTACAAGCCACTCTGATAAAAGGGAAAAGCAGTATGTGGACTCCTAAGGCTATTTATGTGCCTGTGGAATACGTTACTACGCTAGCTGACCTAGAAACAGACTTGCGTAAACTGCGTGCTGCTTTGCTAAAGTTGGTGCAAATTTTCTGAGCCTGCACAAGTGGCTAATGTGGACAGTGACCCGAAGGCCTGCAGCTGACCTTTAGGGAAGGAAGCCAGCTCTGAATGACCATGACACCCAGGTTAAGTCTCACATGAGAAGGACCTTGCCAGGGACAAACTGGAAAACAGGCTTTAGACTACCCAAGTCAGGCTCTTTACAAACCAGCCGACAGACTACAGCTGTTCTGTGATGAACCTATTGCTGGCCCTCAGGAAAAGGAGAGAGGTCCGGGTAAGACACAGTGAGGACACGTGTCAGTGTAACACGGCTGCAGTTCCTTGCTAGGGAAAACTACCTGTATTCTGAGATCATATGCATACATATGTATATATATAAAGTATGATGATTATTTTTTATCTATTCATCTACTGATAGACACGTAGGTTGCTTCCGTATAATGGCTATTATAAATAATACTGCAATGAACATAGGGGTGTCTTTTCAAATTACTGGTTCTGTTTTCTTTGAATAAATACCCACAAGTGGGAATTGTTGGGTTGTACGGCAGCTCTATTTTTAATTTTTTGAGGAATCTAGACACTGTTTATCATAGTGAATGCACAAATTTACATAAGGGTTTGCTTTTTTTCCACCTCCTTACCAGCACTTGTTATTTGTTGATTGTTTTGATAGCCATTCTGACAGGTGTGAGGTGATAGCTTATTAAGTTTTCCTGATGATTAGTTCTGTCGAGCATCTTTACACATGTCTGTTGGCCATCTGTATGTCCTCTTTGCTTCCTCAGGTTGTTTGGCCATTTTTTTTAATTGGATTGTTTTCTTGGTGTTAAGTTGTCCCAGTTCCCTATATTGGATATTAAACCCTTACTGGATGAATCATTTGCTAATATCTTTTCCCATTCTGGTGGCTGTCTTTTCATTTTGTTGATGGTTTCCTTTGCTGTGCAAAGACTTTTTAGTTTGATGTAGTCCCATTTGTTTATTTTTTCTTTTCTTGCCCTTGCCCAAAGAGATGTAAAAGATATTGCTAAGATTGATGTCAGAGATTTTAACTGCCCACATTCTCTTCTAGGAGTGTTAGGTCTTGCAATTAAGTCTTTAACCCATTTTGGGTTTAATATTAGTATGGTTTACAAAATTGGTCCAATTTCATATTTTGCATGTATCTGTCTAACACCACTAATAAAACAGACTGTCTTTACCCCACTGTATATCCTTGCCTCCTTTGTCATAGATTGACTGTAAGCCTGGATTTACTTCTGAGCTCTCTATTCCACGCACTGCACCCATCTACTCTTTATTGCACTCATCTATAGATCTGTTTTTATGCCAGTACCATACTGTTTTGATTATTATAGCTTTTTTTAGTATAGTTTGAAATCAGGGAATGTAGTATCTCCTACTTTGTTCTTTTTCAAAATTTTTTCACCTGTTCGAGGTACTTTGTGGGTCCATATAAATTTTAGGATTAGTTGTTCTAGTTCTGAGAAGAATGGCACTGGTATTCTTATAGGGATTGCACTGAATCTGTATGTTGCTTCAGTTAGTAAGGGAATTTTATCAATATTAATCCTTCCAATCCATGAGCATTGTGTATCTTTCCATTTATTTGTACCCTTTCTTTCTTTAATGTCTTATAGTTTTCAGAGTAAAGGTCTTTTACCTCTTTGGTTAAATTTATTCCTAGGTATATTTTAATGCAATTGTGAGATTATTTTCTTAATTTCTCCTCCTGTTTGTTGTTTGTCTATAAAAATGTGATCGAGTGCTGCATATTCATTTTGCATTCTGCAACTTTACTGAATTCATTTATTAGTTCTAATAGTTCAAACAAAATTTTATTTATTGATTTTTAGAGGCAGAGGAGGGGGAAGGGGAGAGAAAGGGAGAGGGAGAGAGACAGAAAGACAGAGACAGACAGACAGACATCAATTTGTTATTCCACCTAGTTGTGCATTTCTTGGTTGCTTCTTGCAGGTGCCCTGACCAAGGATTGAACCTGCAACCTTGGTATATTGGGGCAATGTTCCTATCAACTGAGCTACCAGGCCAGGGCCTCTAACAGCCTGGACTCTAAACAGATTTTTGGTGGAGTCTTCAGGGTTTTCTATATACAGTATCAGGTAATCTGCAAATAAGAGTTTTACTTCTTCCATTCCCATCTGCGTGCACGCTTGCGCTCCCCGCCCCCCCCGTTTTTTCCTGACTGCTGTGCCGTGCACTTCCAGTACTGTGCTGAATAGAAGAGGTGGTACTGGGCAACCTTTTCCTGATCTTTTTCCTGATCTTAGGAAAAAAGCTTTCAGGTTTTCACCATTGAATATGATATTAACTGTGGGTTTACCACATATAGCCTTTATTATGTTAAAGTATGTTCTTTCTTTATCTACTTTATTGAGTTTTTATCATTAAAAACATTACATTTTATTAAGTGCTTTTTCTCCATCTATACAGATGATCATATCATTTTTATCCTTAATTTTGTTGACTTAATGTATCACATTAATTGATTTATGGATGTTCAACACCCCTCGAATCTCTAGGATAAATTTCACTTGATCTTGGCATACAATTCTTTAAATGTATTGGTGAATCCAGTTTGCTAATATTTTGTTGAGAATTTTTACATCTATGTTCGTTCATCAAGCATATTGACCTGAAATTTTCTTTTTTTGAAATGCCTGTCTGACTTTGGTATCAGGGCAATGCTTGCATCATAGAAAAGTTTGGAAGCATTCCTCCTTCAATTGTTTTGAAGGAGAGGTATTAATTCTTCTTTATTCACCTGTGAAACAGTCTGGTCCTTTTATGTGTTGCGAGTTTTACGATTATTACTTTAATTTTATTACTAGTAATCATGATGTTTAAATACATTGTTTCTTTCAGAATCAGTCATGGAAGGTTATAAGCTTCTAGAAATTTATCCATTTCTTCTAGACTGTTGAATTTGTTGGCATAATTGTTTGCAGTATTCTTTTTTAAATAGATTTTTTGAAGACTTTATTTACTTATTTTTAGAGAGAGAAGAAAGGAAGAGAAACAGCAATCAGCTACCTCTCTCATGCTCCCAACTAGGGGCCTGGCCCACAAGTCAGGCATGGCTAACCCTGACTGGGAATGGAACCAGCAACCTTTCAGTCTGCAGGCTGGCACTCGATCCGCTGAGCCATACCAGCCAGGGCTAATTGTAGTATTCTTTAATAATTCTTTGCATATCTGTGGTGTTGGCTGGAACTTTTCTTTCATTTATGATTTTATTTATTTGAGCTCTTTTTCTTGATGAATATATCTAAAGGTTTGCCAATTTTGCTTATCTTTTCAAAGAACAAACTCTTAGCTCCACCAATCTATTATTTTTCAATTTTTTTCTTTTACTTCTACTCCGATCTTATTTATTTTCTTCTGCCTACTTACTTTGGGGTTGTTTGTTCTTATTTTTCTAGTTCCCTAGGTGTAACATTAGATTATTTGGGAATTTTCCTGTTCCTTGCCATAGGCTTGCATAGCTATGAACTTCCCTCTTAGATCTGTTTTTACGGTATGCCATAAAATTTGAAAAGTTGTGTTTCCACTTTCATTTGTCTCAAGGTAGTTTTTGATTTTCTGTTTGATATTCTCTTTAAATGGTTGTTGAGTAGCAATGGTTGTTTAGTTTCTGTGTGTCTTTTCCCAGTTTTCTTCCTGTACTACATGTTTAGTTTCATGCCATTGTAGTCAGAAAATATGCTTCATATGATTTTAGTCTTCTTGAATTTATTAAGGATATTTTTGCTGACCTGATATATTATCTATCATGGGGAATATTCCATGTGCACATGAAAAAATGTGTATTACACAGGGTTTTTTTCAAATATTTTATTTATTTATTTTTAGAAAGGGGAAAGGAGGGAGAGAGAGAAAGGGAGGAGTATCAATGTGTGGTTGCTTCTCATGTGCCCCCCACTGGGGACCTGGCCCACAACCCGGCATGTGCCCTAACTGGGAATTGAACTGGTGATCCTTTGGTTTGCAGGCCCACATTCAATCCACTGAGATATACCAGCCAGGGCATATTATGCAGGTTTTGAATGACATGTTCTATAAATGTCCATTAAACCAATCGAGTATAGAGTAACATTTAAGGTCATTATTTCCTTACTATTTTTCCTATTCATTGATGTAAGTTGGGTATTAAAATCCCTTGCTATTATTTTATTATTATTGATTTTCCTCCCTTTATGTCTATTAATATATGCCTTATACACTTAGGTCCTCCTATGTTAGATGTGTAAATATTTACGATTTATATCCTCCTCTTAGACTCACCCCTTTATAATTATGTAATGTGTCCTTTTGTCTTTTTTCACATTCTTTGTTTCAAATTCTATTTTGTCTAATACTAGTACTGCTACTCCAGCTTTCCTTGTGTTATTACTTGCATGCATCTTTTTCTATTCCCTCACTTGCAGTCATTTTATTGGTCTTGCAATTTTTTAAAATTTAAATAACTTTTTGTTTTTCAATTACAGTTGACATACAATATTTTAGTAGTTTCAGGTGTACACCTTAGTGATTAGACATATAACTTTCTAAGTGATCACCCTGATAAATCTAGTACCATCTGACACCATACATAATATTTAGAATATTACTGACTATATTACTTACACTGTACTTTACATCCCTATGACTAATCTGTAACAACCAATTTGTACTTCTTAATCCTTTCACCTTTTTCCTCATCTCCCAATCCCCCTTCCATCTGGCAATCATCAAAATGTTCTCTGTACCTATGAGTCTGTGTCTGTTCTGCTTCTTCATTTACTTGGGGC